AATCGATTTGAGTGCATTTTGAAGAGAGTGATTCAATTGGTGTTTGCAGTGAAGTGATCGGACGAAACAATGCGAAATTGCGTTTGGTGGATGACGCGTTTTCAGTGGTTTGTCATGCTCTCAACGATGTTGAGGTGAGTGAGAGTTTGGAAATCAGATCTGGAAAAATCTGGAAGTTTTGATAAAAATTGTTTTGTAAAGTATTTGAAGAACCTAAATTTAAAGATTTCGAACGGTTCTTCAAGTATTTGTGGATTTTAGAGGTAAAATCGCTTGTTAAGTTCATTGCGTTGATAATTGTTATGCAATTTCGTGAAGTGATACCACTTCAAATTGAGTGCGATTATAGTTAAAGTAATATTTTGTGGTTGTTTGAAGGTGATGGTTCGGGCTGAAGCAGCCAAACTGTTGGGTACATTCGAGTTTGTATCGGATTGTTTCGTGGATCAGACACTCGACAAGAAACTTTTGAATGCGATGCGGGTGAGTTTGGATTGATTGCAGATGTTTTGTGTGGAATTTTGTTTTGTTATTATTGTTATTCGTATTGTCATTGGCATTTTTTATTAATGATAAGGTTGTTATCGTTATTATTTGTTTTGTTAATGTTATTTTTTATTATCAATAATTTTAATATTGTCATTTATTTTAATATTATCATTTATTTGTTATTGTTATTTTTTATTGATAATAATTTTAATATTGTTATCATTTATTTTGTTATTGTTATTTTTTATTAATAATAATTTTATTATTGTTATCATTTATTTTGTTATTAATCAGTGAGTGATTGTTCGTGTAATGAACAGATGTCAAAAGCATGGCAGAGTGCCTCTCGAAAGCCACAACGATGGACGAACGTAAGGCGAGAGCGTTATGCGGCCTCAACGGAATGGTCGACAGGGAAGAAGTTAGGCGAGGATGTGCCTGCGGAGAAGATTGAGGACGAACAGACCAGCATCATACCGACGGGTGCGTGTGGAGCGTTGATTACGGCTTTGGAAGACGAGTTTATGGGTGAGTTGTGGAGAGATTTCGATTTGTTCATTGAAATGTTTTGTGGCGTTTTTAATTTTCGATGACGACAGCAAGTGATTGAATCCGTTTGGACGGAATTTTCTTTTGGACTTATAATTTAGACGTGTGTCGATGTCAACTTGAATTCATAACTGAGTTGCTGAGTTCATTTTTGTCAGCAAAATTATCGTAATACGTATAGTAACAGATAATNTAGATAATAGATACAAGCCGGATCATAGCCTGCTGGCTCAGGCTCACAACATTCCAATTCGATTCGGAGGAAAGTTTTGCTCAAAACCGAGTGGTGTACAAATATCAGTAATACGTATAATTGAATATGAATATGAAATTGATTTGAATGTGCAAAGTTGAGTTCGGCTAGGGATTGAATGGAACATTGTGAATAGGAATAATTTTTGTTGATTTGTTATTAGTTTCATGTTCATTTGTTATTGTTGAAGGATTGAATCGTGAAAGTTCAGTGTAAAAGTGAAAAATTTTCAGTTGTTCGTCAAGCGGCAGTTTATTCGCTGGGCAGACTGGCCGCAGATCGATCGTTCCTGGCTGCGGCGGCTATTGATAACCTCT